AGTGTAATTTTTTTTTTTTTTTTTTTAAAACAAGTTTTAAAAAGAGACAAAAGGGGTTTTTTTTTTGAAAAAAAAAAAAAAAAAAAAAAAAAAAAAACACACACACACATTGTTTCCCTGCTGTCTCCTCCACTCTCAGAGTGACAGTCTGTTATTGTTAATACCTCTGCATTAACAATATTTCAGACCTTGAAACCAAACATGTTTAATATGTTTATGTTGCTGGTCCAATGGAGTGCATCCAATGAATCCAGAAAATGTGTGAAAACATTTTGAACCACTTTGGGTCATGGCGGACTATTTGTGCATCTGTGCACTGCTTTCTTGTTCTACTTGGTGTACAGACAGAGACTTCATTTATTTACATTGTTGCTAATTGCGCCATCAGTTGCATTCACCAATGATTCTCTAGCTGGAATTTGGTGCTTTACTTTCTTTAAACCTCTTGTATAAATCAAAAGAAAGCCATATCTTCTCCTCATTTTTCCACAATTATGTTAACAAGAAATCTTGAATTCTAGTAACGTTTTACAGTTTAATGAGCAGAGGTTTTTCTTTTTTCATTTTTTTTCTGTACCTATAAAGTTTTGTTTATATAGATATAGTGATACTGTCAGGATGTTAATAATTACTTACGTCTGCCAACTCTTACTCTTACTCTTACTCTTTTCATACACTGGATGTCCTTAACAGTGCTTAATGACTCACTTGTCATTCTTTGTCTTTATATAGCCCAGGAAATATGTTAGAAACATGGCCCTTGCAGCCCACACGTCTTCTTTCTCCAAATTTGGCTGACACAAAATCATTAAAATTCAAACTTCTTGTAGGTGGGCCGTGTTAATTTATTTTCCAAGTTACTCATAATCAGGTTCGAGGACTACTTTTGCATTTCATCTTCCTTCAGTCTTTACACCCATCACAGCACCGAGTGCCACACATTTCCTCTCTCCACTCACGCCTTCATATGTCTCCCCTTTCTGTCATTTTCTGTCAGTTGCAGCCTTTTGCTTTCTGTGCATACAGCCAAAGTGCTATGTTCTCTAAGAAAAACAAGAAAAGGGTCTGAAAATAAATAAAACCTCAGTAGGGAGCAACAAACGTGGCCACTGAGGCTCTTCGTCTGCAGAGCTTTTGACTGCACTATTCTGTCTATCATGTGGCTACTGTTTGCTGATCAGCTTGAATGACCTTAGCGTCTTTTTTTTTTTTTTGACCACATTCTAATTTTTAAACATTGTTAAAATTTTGGATTTGATCAAAACAATTTGACATATTTCATAGGTGGAATTTTGTGGACGGTTTACAAGTCCGGAAATAATCCAAAATAGTCAACAAAATACAAATTGTTTTGAACTCATGTTTATACAAATCTATTTATGTTCCATCAAAAAGGTAAATCACCATAATTATGATTCATATGCAAACAGAGGAAAACAACTTGTGTCCAGCTTTCAGCAAAGTGGCATAAGATTTCTTTAGGCCCCGCAGAGGATTTGCCCCAAATCATGTAATGATAGTGAATGAAAGATGGGTTGGATTTATGTCTAATTGTTGACAGTTTTATAATCTGGCCAAAGATATGCCCGTATTAAATCATATTATTTTGGCTTATTTCTCATCTCATTTCAAACATTTCCAGATGTTTTCCCATCCTATACTCAGCAAGCTTTGTTTAGACACCGGGGTTTTCTGAATAAGGAGTTCAATAACTTTTTTTAAAATGAATCCGTGTTATAAAGATTTTACAGTAAGTTAGATTGAAACCTGAAATTAAGGACTTTTTTTTTTTTGTCTCTACGTCTCTATTAAAATAATTGTATTGTACCTGCAGTTTTACAGACTTGCTCTGCAGCATTCAGCTATTACTCAATTTTAACTAAAGAAAAACTTTATCCAGTATATATAATATGTAGCTTCCATTTGACAACCAATGCACATTTATTACTCATCTGTCCTCCAACAACATCTGTTGGACGTGTGTTTCTTCCAGACCACACAAGCTCCACACAGAAGTCTCCACCAGTTTAAAACTTTTTTTTTTCTTACCAGAAAGTTAAACCCAAAACCCAAAATAACCTTCTCGAGATTTTAAAAGGTACCCTCCTCTTAAAGCATGTTATTTGGGGCTTCTTGGGGGAAGCCGCTGGAAGGTTTCATGTTAGCATGACATCACTGTCATTACATGCAATGACATCATTAGAAGAGCTTCTGCCCTTTCTGCAGCTTTGCAAATGCCTGAACAAGCAAATTTCATACTTCAACCCAAAATAATCTCTGGCTAAGTGATGACTGCTCATATTCTGATGCTTTTTAATGTGGAGGGGGTGCATCAGCACCTACAACACCCACTCATGCGCAATGACTTCGTGGCTCAAATTTCCTGAGATTAAATAAACAGCTGTTCGCCATACTGAGTATACTAGAGTTTATGAATTGTTTTTAAATAGACGTCCTTTCCTGACTTAAGTTTGAACTCTGAAAACAATTTAAGAAAACCTTATTCAACCTCAAGAGCCAGGGTTCTGGTCCAGTGAAGCATGAATACAAATAGCTCCATTTACTTGTGAGCTGTTCCACATTCGGTAGGCTATTCCTGTGATATCATTTGAGGAAAACAAATACACCAACATTTAAAAAACCACTGGGACCAATTAGTTGGTTAGTAGCAGTCTATACTGAGTTTTCATCTTCCTTTAAATGCTTTAAGCTTGTTAAATTGAGCCTTTTCAGAGTTGGTTTCTTGATGATAGTCTTACATCGATGGAGACTTGATTCAAATGATCATCCTTCTTTTAGTGTGTTTTGTTTAATTTTGTTTGATTAAACAAAACACATCCTTTCCGGGTGGCCTGGAAAGGTGTAGGTAGGGTAGACTCTGTTTGAAGGTTAGTAAAGGCGCGATGTAATGGTTGCCCTAACACTGAAATGAAATTTTCCTAATTTGCTTTCAGTCCAGCAACATTTGATTGACCATATGTGGTCAGTAGACCAGGGATTGGGTTTAGTCCATAACTTTTGTATATTGTCTCTGGCTAAAATACAATGAACAGAAAAGCTGTTAAGTTTTAACAAGTGGAAAAGAAAACCCCTGTGGCGACAAGTAGTGGAGAGGTAGAGTGGCCACCCCACTCTACCTCTTATTAGTCCTCTGTGCAATTGTCTGGGGTTTGATTCCCGACCTTTGGAGCTCTGCAGCATGTCTCCATCCATGTCCAATATAATCTACTGCAAGTAAAGGCCAGTAGTTCCTATTCTGACCCTTCCCTACCCTAACAGAAAAAAAGGCAGAAAAAAGGGAGAAGTTTTGCCAAAATGCAACAACAACAACAAAAGCAACTTTAACATGCATCAGCAGAAACATAACTACAATACTGTTTTATGTCCTGGAACACTAAACCGAGTTTTGGTGCAAAGCTACATTTTCTTCATTTTACTATTTCATGGTGCAATGTTTTATGACACGTTTACAGCCTGGAAATAGCTAAGCATATTTAATCACTAGTTTTACTGTAAGAAAAAAAATAACAGTCCCAGAATAAGACAAACTTGGTAAGAAAAATATGTGTGGTTATAAAAAAATATTTGCAAGGTGAAATAAATTTTTTGCATTTACATTTAGGCTTGAAAGTTGCTTGAACAGTCTGTGAATACTTAATGTGATTTGTAGGCACCAAAGGTCTATTTTGAGCCAGAAAGGAAAACTAAAAAAGAAAAAAAAATAAATAACTCATATCTTTTCTTGCAGCAATGAGCGCTGGACTCCTGTGGAGGGCCCTATGCCTGCTGATTATACTTTGCACTGTGTCACACCATGTGCGCTGCACAGACAACCAGCCAGATTCCTCTGGCACAGAGCAGGGACTCACCTTCAGCCACATCTATAAGCTTGACATCCCAGGAAGCTCCAGTTGCACCGTGGAGCGTCTGCCAACACACAAGACAGGTCAAACAGATGAGACAAACATAAATAAAACATGCGCATAGGCAGCTTACAATGATTACATAAGAAATTGGAATGTAACGTGCAATGTAAACACATATTCTTAAAGTAGTTAGATTGAGCATTTTTACATTGTGCTTTTATTAGCGTCAAAAACTGAAAAGTGTCATTTTTTTGTTTGTAGCTCTGCAACAAGATACCATAACCAATGGAGAAAACGACATCACCTTTAAACACAACATTAGGCTGCAAACACCCAAGTGTAATTGTGAGGAATCGGAAAGCTTCAAAGACCTACTGTACAGAATCAACGGACTGGAAGAAGAAGTCACCTACCTAAAGACCCAGTGCACTCAAGGATGCTGTGGAAGAGGAGGTGTTGCAGGTAAGCTTCCACAACCATTGCATTTAAGCAGCCGGAATAAGCAGTCAGCTATTCCACCTAAAGTAAAGGGCCATTCAAGATAAATTATAACATTCAGCCACCAACAGTGTTTCCTTCTGTCGTGTCTTTGCGTTATGGTGTAGACACAAGCTGCAGCGGTCATGGTACCTACCAGCAAGACACCTGCAGCTGCCTTTGTAACCCAGGATGGGAAGGCCCTGACTGCTCCGTGTCCTCCTGCCCTGATGAGTGCAACGACAATGGCCGATGTGTAGATGGGAAATGCGTTTGCTATGAGGGTTACACAGGAGAAGACTGCAGCCAGCTGACATGTCCAGGCGACTGCAATGATAAGGGGGAGTGCAGGGATGGAAAATGTGTGTGTTTCCCTCATTTTACCGGTGAAGACTGCAGTACCCCGACGTGTCCTAATGACTGTGGTGGCAATGGGCAGTGTGTGGATGGTCAATGCGTCTGTGAAGAAGGCTTCTATGGAAAGGATTGTTCTCTAGGTAAGGCGTTTCAAATGATAAACACAGAACATGTTAAATTTCAAATGCTTTAAATACATTTCTCAAGATATCAGCAATTAGCCTGTGCTAGTACAAATACTATTATTACAAGTGATCAACTCTGCAGCCCGGCATTTAGCAGTTCAGTTTCTTACAGGTTGAGGTGGGGTTTTATGGACCAAAGCTGAAGACCTGTCAAATAGTCCAGTTGTTTGCTGAATACTAACATATTAAATAGTGGCTTAGAAATTCATTTGTACTTTTTCATCCATTTCTGACCATGCATTTTATCATAGCATGCCATAGTGTGTGATCCACAGAAGTTGTAGGCTCCAGTGATCAAAACAGACCATAATGCACTACGACCTAATCTCACAAACCATTTAACTTCTGAAGGATTAATTACTGCAATTTTGCCTAATTGGTTTTTAAATTTAGAAGCTCAAACCTACACCTGGACATCTATTTTGAATGGCAAATAATAGCAACTTGATGACTAAAACACAAGAATAATCAAGACTAATGAAGCTGGATGGAGAATAAAAATGAAATGCATACAAACAAAACACAGCAGAAGAACTTCATTTTCAAATCAAAGATAAAAAAAAAAACACCTAAATTCTGTCCTTTGTATTAAAATATCTTAATATTTGGGAACTGGCAGATTGTATTCAGATGCTTGGGAAAAATAGAGAAGAAAAAAGAGCATTTTTTAAAAACGAGTTATGTGTACATAGCAGAAAAATGGAAAACCAAAGGAAACATGGTCACCACACATAATAAAACAGAAATTCAAACTGTAGGGATAATACTACAGTTATTAAAGGTAATATAAATACCTCACAAGTTGTTTGCTCCTTTTACATAGAGGCAATAGTATTGCATTAACCCTCCTGTTGTCTTAGCGTGATGTTCAGGAGGAGTGTGGCAAATGTCATGGGGAACCGTCAGTTCCTGAAACCACACACACACACACACGCAAAAAAAAACTTGTAAAAGCACATGCGAGGTCAGTGCAACCCCGCTGGACTGCGCACTGGTTAAAAAGTTTGTGAGATCCAAATGGCCTCGCATCTCATGATTCTTAGAGGGTTAAAATAATGCCAAAACCAAAACCCGATACTTCGTTTAAGGGGTAGTATTATGTATTTTCCAGCCACATAATGCCATTTTATAGCATAATCAAGTAACTGTTTCCATCAGTGGTTATAAAATGCTCCTTATTTGACTTTCCTTGAAATTGGACTTCCATCTTTAAGAAACTCTTGGTCTTTCCCTTTAATAATAGTTTTACCAGTGTTTCACTGAGAAGTAGCTTGTATAAGGAGCTCAGCACATGCACAGTTCCACCAGGTGTGTGCTAATTGCTGCTGATATCACTGATATTACAAAGTTTGTGAACATTTTATGGCGCTGCAGTATCAGCTTTTCTTGAACACAGAAAAGCTGTTGGTGCGGTATGTTCGTACAGACATGCTGTACCGACATAGGTTGTAGCAGTTCCTCCTTGTCCACTCAACTATTCCCTTGATTGTAAAGCCTATGTGGCCTAAGAGCCTCTGTGCCTGCTCTTTTTATGGTCCACTGGAGCAGTGGTTTTCAATCATGGTCCTCAGAACTCTCTGTCCTGCATGTTTTAGGTGTTTCCATGCCTCTACATCTGACTTCACTAAACAGATAATTGCCAGGCTTCTGCAGGACTTAATGGCATGCTGACCAGGTATTGCATTCATTTGATTCAGGTGTGCTGGTTCAGGAAAATATCTGACTGTTTGTCCCGAGGACCAGGATTGAAAATCACAGCATTAGAGGTCTCTGCAGACAATTCAGCACAACCCAGATTTTCCCGACAGCTTTGGCTGTACATGCTGGTGACGACGATAATAGTCCCTGTCAGAAGGTGATGCCAAACACATAATGGATAACAATAACAAATGGTCATATCATCAGCAGCAATAAATCAGCAATGGCTAAGACTTTTTTTTTTTTTAAAGAAATGCAGTGATGAGCAATTTGCAGTTTTCCCAATGTGGATAATTTATCTCACACTGACAACGAAGATACAAAAACTGCACTTATAATCTTTTCTTCTTCTCGTCTGAACATACCACATATAAGCCCCTAAGGAACTATCATAAAAACTGCTTATCTCTGAGGGGAAGGTGGTTGTGCAGCTTCACAATAAATCATATAAACAGAGGCACATGCTTATCTGGAAGGACTAAGTGGCTGGCATACATTGATATAGTGAGTTATGTCAAAGTCGTAGTTCTCCTCACATTGACGGTTCTTTCAGGATAACATTATACATATAGACAGCGAGCTGCAGCAACAAATACAGTCTCTCACTGAGATCGCCATTGTTATGGATGCAAAACTCTTAAGATTCTTAATCCCAGTCCAAATTTGATAGATCAATAAAATAATAAGCAAGGCCAATGATTGCGAAAACAAAAACACAGTTTTGAACAAAAGTTAAAAAAAAAAAAAAAAATTGGACTGCACTCCAATCCTATAACAAGTATTGATCAGGACACCCTTCTAACACAGGTTTTGCATCCAGACTTTAAGTTCTGCTAGAGTCCTTCCAGACCAGCAGAAAGGGAAAATCTGTTAAAGTGGCAGAAATCTTGTAGCACAGAAAAACAGACGAGGAGCAAGCAAGAATTAACCAAAGTAACCTGATCTCAGAATCTTTATATTCCTATCAGTTTTAGTGTTACCTGTCTAAAAAAAAACGCAGTCTCGTGATGAGTTCAGAGAATGATGCACTAAGAGGAGAAAATAAAAACCAGCTCTGTCAGGTAGCTGCTGGCAATGTCCAGTCCACCTGCATACTTTAAAAGATGGATGGGAAAACATTGAGAACACACAGACGAAAGAAACGGGGGGGGGGAGGGGGGGGATAGGAAGGACAAACGCTTCCCGAACGCTGCCATCATGACGACCTTTGCTCAGGAGTTCTTTAAGCCAGCAGAATGTATTGTTAAGGGGACAGGGACTTCAAGCAGTTTTTCTATAACAGATAAGTACAATCCATGTTAAATCAGGTTATTTACACACCAAGAAAAGTACCTTCTTCTGGCAGCACTGTAGAGTGCAGATCCTATGAAAATGTGCTCCTGTCACTTTGTCATTAGAAATGCCACAGCCACTGATTTTCTTTATATGTTGCAAACACTCAGGACTATTGTGGATTTAAGAGTTATTTAATACGTAATTCTTCAACCTGGAAAACAAACCCAAAAGTAAACTGCACTGCCTTAAAGTACTGGACCACCAGGCTGAATCTGCGTCCTGTCCTCTATGCATACTGGCCTCCCTGACAGCAATTTACACAACAGGAGGGTAAAACTCTTCACTTACATCAGTAAGCAAACACAGACAGATGTCACACTACATTAGACATATGGTTGATTAGATGGTAAAATATATAATATATAAAACTATCTGACAGGAACATTTCTATCACAATTAATGGATCTACAAAACAATTTCATCCCATCCGTCATGAATAGGACACCGACTGCCAAGACTTGACTTAAACCATTATTATGGGATGGATAGTTTTAAAAATGCCATTTAGCCCAGAGTTGTTGTTTTATCAGAAATGTCCAGAGAAAATGAGGAAACCTTTTAAAGCTAGACAGACGGGTTCCTACACGGTCTTGAAAAGCCATGCAAAGTATGGAAATTGATTTTTATCATGTTCCAAGTCTGGATTCAGTAAGAAAAAGAAAAAAAAAAGTTAGATTTTCAATACTGATTTCTCATTCCATTACATATGAGATCAAAATCAGACTTTCGGTGAAACAAATAGCTTTGCCCATTGATTTCTAATTAGATGCGGACCTTTTTTGTTATTTACCCCTTCACAGCTCACGTTTTTGTCGGCCAATTTAATGATCACTTAGGTTATGTGGGAGATGTCTTAAAGCATCACGGAAGTTTTAGCCTTTTTATCTTAAAAAATGTGATATTTTTTTATCAACATTTGTTAAGGTTTAAACTTGCAAAAGGAGCAGTAAGAGACAACAAATACTAGCCAAGCTTTGGAGAGTTTTCTTTTCACATCTTCAGACAGGTCTGTCGTAAAGTTTTGTAACAAGAACTTTTAAAAGCATTTGTGATCTTTTATGTCATATACTGTAACCACTTACAATCAATAATTCTGATTGATTTAATTTTCCAAGAAATTCTTTAAACTATTTTACAGGAGCTCCCGTTTAAAGACTAAAACCACTGCTGGATAGAACTGCTTAATGTCTCAGACAAGACAGATGTAACAAGATACCAACAAAATGGAAAAAGCTTTCAACGAAAATAGGTTTGAAATCTGTTGCCTCATAGCCAGGAAAAAAAAAAAAGGGAAATGTTGACGACATAACAAGTAGTTGCCAATAACAGACATGCTCCATCATCTCACTAAAAAACATAACAGATTACTCTTTCGATGCATCCAGAGGATAATCCAAGGATTGTGTTTCATGCAGACTATGACATAAGAAAAGTCTTTGTAAATATCATCTTTTGCATGACAAACACTCCATATTGAAAAGCTGTTAGTGATTTTAGGTATTGAACATTTGACTTTAAAACGAGGGGCAGGAAGAAAATGTGTTTTATGAGTAATGCGAACGACATTGCAGTCAAGGTTAAAAGAAAGATTATCCCCTGGTAATTCTTGTGTTTTGTCATGAAAGCTACCGTTAACAGGATGCAAATTTGTTTAAATTTACTTTCAGTGGTACAAAACATCATGCTACCAGACAACATGAGCTGCAGATTTACAAAGATTACAACCAAATTTAAAGATTTTAGAACACTTAGAATACAAGCTTAATGAATATCCTGGAAATTAGAGGGTGTATCTATTGTTATACTGATTCCTTCCCATCTAACTCCCTTCACTGAGAGGTTGACACCTAACCGGCTCTGTAGCCCGTAGCTACTGAGATCCCTAAGCTTGCAGGGTATTATCTCGAAGGACAATCCATCCTTCAGCTGTCTTCCAGCCACACAAGGTCATGTGTTTACCATGACCCTAAGAAATGTCTTTAGGGCTTTGTTAAAGCCTCTACACAGGAATTCTGGTGGGAATTTCCTTTATAAGTCTTTCATTATTATTTTAAAATGTACTAGCAAACACATTAACACCAACTGTCTGAAATTGTTTATGTGGAGACTAAGACAAATCTAATTATTCATGTTACCTGGTCATTGCATAGCATCTAAATTGGACTAGTGAATATACAGAAAAAAACATTACAAAAAAAACTTTTACATGATTTTCATTTACCTGAGCCTAAACCCAGGTGTAAAAAACAACAACGTTATTTCAATTTGCAGGGTACTGATATGGGTATTCATGTCACCATACAGTGTATATTGAAGTCCTGCTCTTTACATTAACTACAGCTGATAATTTATTCAGCATTTCTTTTTTTGAAATAAGAAAAAAAAAACTCCTGTTTGGAAGGACTTGGGAGAACAAACACTAACTCTCTCTCTCTGTGACCTTAAGGTGTGTGTTTTTATGATGATCTTAAATTAGAGACACTCCAGGGCTGCTGGCTATTGTAGCTGTCAAACAACTGGCACAATTCAACTTTCACTTCTTTCAAGCTTTCTAAAATATCTTCTGGTTTCTTATTAATTTGCCACCAAATCCACCATATGTCATTGTGCTGTTAATGCAGGAGTTTATTCACAGGATGGATACTGAAAGATGTGAAAATCGATTAAGTGGTTTCATTTGAAAACTCCTTTAGACAGTGGATACTTTAATTCTTAAAATCCATCACTAGACTGCACAATTTCAGTATTGTTTAATGGTAAAGCGAAAGTTTTCTGCAGTTAGGATTTCTTTTGAGAGAAAGTACATTTTAAAGCTCTCAACTAATCTGAGAAAAAAATTGTCAATTTAATTACATAAACTCGCCGAACACTTTATTAGATACACGTTTAATTTTACGTTGACAAAAATAGTGAATCAGCCAATCACATGGCATCAGCTTGGTGGAGACGACTTGCTACAGTAAACGGTTCAAAATAAATTATTTTTCTTCCCCGATTCAACACCAAGTGGCTTGGTATTTGAAGTGGCTTTCAAATACCAAGCCATTTTGAACATGGCTTGGTATTGCAAGACGAGCTAATCAGAGAATATGAAGTTGTTGATTTCATTTTCATAAACAAATGTATAGAGAACAGAAATCAAGTCAATCAAAGTCAAAGTAAAAAGGTCAAGGTGTTTCAAGAATTCAAAGCATCTCACCTTGAACTTATTTCAAACGAAGTTGCCAAAGAGGTTCTTTCAGTGGGGTTGACCCATGATCACACCATCTTTAGCATCTAGACAACATATGACAACAGGTCACATAACACCACAGGGATATCATAACAGTCATCGGTCATTTAGGGGACTCCGTCCGGCTTCTCCCCAAGGCATCACCTGTCTTGCTAAGGATGCCACACAAACAGCCTCTCTGCTGCCACAGGAGCAGATAAAAAAATTGCATTTTGGATCAAATCTAAAAGTAAGAAACACAGAAACTGTGAGCAGTGGTAGGCTAGACGGGGAGAGTGATTGTTGGTGCTATGCGATATTAGAAATCTGAAGTGTTACCAAGTGTCAGATCTTTCTTCAACAATCTTTCCTTTGCTTAAATTCTACATTGTTGCCTTTGATCATGTTAATCATGAACTTTAGTGCATTACTGGGTTTTTGTCTAATAAACAAACACAACATAGCCCCTAGTTGTGAGATGGAAGGAAATGGGACCTGCAGGTTTCCAAGTTTTATTTTGCAAGTCAAATCAAGTATATTTGTGCAGCACATTTTGGCAACAATCTACTTCAAAGAGCTTTACACCATAACAACATAGTGCTGCAGCCAATCAGTGTCTGAAAAGCAAACCGGGCATACATCTTCAGACCCTTTTCCCTGAGGAGTCCAAATGAAATACAGCACAGAAGTCGCCTGAATGGTACATAGTTTATCTGTGTGTAATTTATATTTATCCAGTTATTCTTTGATTGTCAAGTGGGTTTGTTAGAGAACACTGGAGAACAAATGGCATCAGGAATATGCCAGAAAATTAAAGCAGGGAGATATCATGTAACAAACAGATTTATATTGCAGAACAGAAAGATTAACACTTTAGATGTTCACACAGTAGCAGGTCGGCCATGTCCAACCTTCAGTCACTTCAAGGTATTTGGCCCTGAAGTTGCAAAGAATAAGCACAGACAGATCTGCAACTTTGTATGTCGGTACAATTGCACCTAATCCAACATCAATAGAGGTGCCGTGTTAAAGGGATTGTCAAGGTGAAAAGGAAAAGTGGAAGGCAGGCAGGCAAAAAAAAAACAAACAAACAAAAAAAAAAAACTGTGTTGTTATAGGGTGTGTGCAATAATAGTGGTGATAGGTTTGCAGAAAAGAACCACATAAAGGAACACAGTGAAAAGACATTGTTTTATCTGGCTACTGTCCATTTTAACACATGGATGACGGATGTCAATCTCTTCTTAGTGAAGGACATTCAGGTTGCATTTCAAACATGAGGAAGATTTGACATTTTAAGGTTTTTGTTTTTTGGTCAAACGTTATGTCACTCAGGAATTTACAGTACATTATTTTTTCCTTTTTTTTTTTTTTTAGCTTGAAGGTATCCATAAGCATTCCAGGTTTAGAGTCTTAACATTGTTAATTTATCTCCTTCACCTGGTTTAACATAATATAAAACACAGATTGTTGATCTTCTTGCTTTGAGTTGTATCAGGGGTATTAACTAACAGCTACTGCATGGAAAGGAGTACTCACAACAACAAAAAAAGAAAAAAAAAAAAACTTCCTGATTCTGCCTTGTGGAATATCACTGGAACCTCATAATAAATTCCTTCTTTGCAATTAATTCTAATTGTCATTAGAAAAAATTAGTTCCAAATATGCTGTTTTTCTGCCCTTAAAGCTGTTCATGTCCCTGTATTTTAACCTCTTGCATAGTTTCCACTGAAGCACATTTTGAAGTAAAACCACCGAAACAGAGTGTCTTTCAAGCGCGCTTGGATTTCTCAGCTTTTAGCAATAATAGGCCACTTTTGCATTGGTTGTGCCATGACGGTGAAAATAGCACTTGAGAGAACTATTAGCCAGTGAAAATATCATTTATTATACGTTCTCCTGGAATTGACCTCTGTTTGTCTTGTTTCTCTTTTAGTCCTCACACCTCAGGGTCTGAGGTTGGTCCAAGTGACGGATGTTTCTCTCCTGGTGGAGTGGGAGTCCGTCCAAGGGGCAGAGTATTACATGCTGACCTATCATCCTAAATTTGATGAGGGTGCCAAGGAGGAGGTATGTCTTTATTGTGGTTTCTTTTCTTGCTTCATATCAAACTAAACTGTATCTTCCTGCATTGGTTCCAAGCATCCTTTTCTGTAACTGTATCTCAGGTTCGGATTTCCAACTCGGAGAATTCCTACCTCATTACGGGACTCGCACCCGGAGTTACCTACGTTGTCCAAGTCTACGCTGTCATCAAAACGATTCAGAGTGAAGCAGATATGATTGAAGCCACAACAGGTGAGATTGACATTTACTATTGCCCATACCAAAAGTTGCCACTGACCACATTTGAACATTTAAACATTTATTTTAACCCTAAATATATAAAATATAACCCAGAAGTGTCTGCACAATATTTTATTTAAATAGTCTGACCCAAAAAAGGCCTTTTAGAACCACCCTGGACACCCTGGACTCAAGCTGGGAAATTATTTAGATTAATCAACTTGATAGTTGGAAAGTGGGCTGAAATGTGGGTTCCGTCAGGACACTGATATCCAAGACAAATCAGAAACTGATAAGGCTATTTAACAATTAGTAGCTGGGTGTTGACATTAAGAAAAGCTTTACCGTGTGGGTTAGAGATAATCCACATTGAAAAAAAGTTTGTGCTCACAATTCTTGATTTTAAAAATGATGGACATTGTCAAGCTGGTTGAACAACCTCTGCAAACAAATCATCAAAAACTCAAAATTGTTATGAAATTATTGCCTGTGATAAGTTTACATAAATTTATGGCTAGAACTGCAACAATAAATGCTATTTTAAAAAATTTCAAGTTTGAAATCTTGAAATGCTAATAAGTCTGACTTTTTCCAGTTTCAAAACTTTGTGTTGATAAAAACAATATAAATAAAATGCATACATGTCAAAATCTTACAGATAAATATATGCTGTAGATTTAGTAGGTCTTTTTTTTCTGTAATCTTTAACTTATCAAGCTCCATATATTGTGTTTTAAAGCAAGTTTGAAATTACTAAGTGTTTCATTAGGCACTGGTTAGGCATTACATTTTATGGTAATTACAAGGAAACGGTTGCATGGATGTATTTACCATAAACTGCCACTCACAGATGTGGTAGGAGACAGATGGGAAGAGGAAGAGATTTCTTGTCTGGATTTATATAGTTAATGAGAAGGAAGGAGATGAGTTGTATTATGCCGCGCGGTTCAGCTGGTTTGCTGGGAAAAGAAAGCACCATACTTCAGGGCTTTATCCACAAGAAAACACTGCATCATCTGGCCTGTTGCTGTGTGAGGAGACACAATGTGGGGCAGACCTTTCGCGGGTTACATACTTTTCATTTTAACTTCAAACGCTGGTCTACTTCAAAGGAGAGTTTAAGTGAGTATTTTTCCATTTCCTTTTGAAAAACAAACAAAAAAGGGAAAAAAAACCCCGACATAAACTATGCTAACCGTTTTCATTTGTTTTGTTTTATGTTTGTAATATCTTTTCTCACCATATGTTATAAATCCAGAGGCATGTCCTTGCCATGGGAAAACAATCACTATTGTCATTTGGTTCCCATCTGTAAATGAAATTATTTCTTATCCCCGTTTTATGAAAAATGTGCAAAAAAAATGCTTCTTAGTCTTTGTCTGGGTGTCATTTCACACTATAGAAGATGGGGCTTCTAAATTGTCCCAGATGTTAGTGAGATAAATGGTAATTTAAGTGGTAATTGTAAATAATACAAGAACACATTCTCAAAGAGCAATACATTTTAAATTCTAATGAATATTTAACGCTGGAGCTGGAAGACATTTTAAATATCAAAAATAAATAAAACTATAAAAACAACAAATAAAATTAATTATGAAATCTCTGTAAACAAAATTGTTCTTCAAAAAAGGGCCAGTTGAGACCAAAGCACCAAACCGAAGACTTTTATGATCCAGTTTTTGGTAGAAGACAACAGATAAAATGATAAATCATACTAATGTTTTATTTTCACAAAGTTAAAAAAAAAGTACAAATGTACACTAAAAATAACAGTTTTGTTCAAACTATTAAATAAGAGAAAATCTGATTTACTATCAGATGTGTTGAATTGTTAAATCATTTAGTATTTTTGCGGTTTCTGTACAAAGGCCTTAAGCAACCTTTCTCATAAATGGCGAATAATAATTTATATCACGGCACAAAGACATTGTTACACATTGAGCATTGTAAAAGCAATGTCCAAATTATTGCAGAATTGACATTTTTGCAACTTTGTCATATTTTTTTTTTTTTATCAAAGAGCATATAGGTAGCATTTGTACAACATTAATGCCTGTTGCCATATACTCAAGGATACTGTGAACTGAAGGTCAAACATATGCCCTCTCATCTCTATTTTCATTTATTTATACAGAACTGGACTCTTTCAATTCTTTTGGATGGGTCCAAAAGAATTTGACTTTTCAAATGTATAAACCAGACCAACTTTGCTTACTTTAATTACTGAAGTCTAACTCTTTCTTGATCTAATCTTAATGAAAAGCTTACATACCTTTGTAGAAAATACATTTTCCTCTTCATAACAGTCTTACTCCTTTGCACTTCTCCTGACTTTATTTCGAACAACCTTAAAATAGAAAAAAAGCAAAACTTTGAGTCATTTTTCTTCAGTAACTTCCACAATAAATATCAAAACTGAAGCTGATTACCATTTAAAACTATGTGATACAAATAACTTTTTGTAACTTTCCTAACTTCACCAAATGAGTTCTGTAGACTTTAGATGTCTGAAAGTTTCTCAAAGAAATGTGTCTGATTTTCACACAGGTTAAAAGATATTCAGCTCATTGTAAAGACACTGACAATATGACCAGTCTGTTCATGTAGAGTTTTAAGCTAAGCTTTTGAGCAAACCCTTTTACATCCTTTGGCCATGAAATGTTTTTGTCATGGGTCACAAAGCAGGTTTAATTTGAGTTACTTAAGAGAATTGCTGGGTGGTTCATAAAAGTTGTTAAATGAGGAAATTATCCTCTTTTTTTATTTCTCACCCTAATCTTTAACCATCGTCACATAACTGTGCCATTCATACCTTTGCTGCACTGTTATATATTTTTAAAATTGGCACTTTTTTCCCACTTAAAAAAACTCAAACATTTTATGAATTATATTAGAAATATATAAGAACCTCAGTCATCTGCTTTTGACCATCTTTTGTCATTTGCACTGTTTTTGCATCCTCACATGGCCAAAATTGGGAGTCAGTTTTAGAACAATAACTATTGTTTTCATTGCTGTAAAGTAATTAGTGCTTCCCCCAAAATGCACTGCAAAAACATACAATGTCACCAAGTGTTTTTGTCTAGTTTTTCAGGCAAATTTCTCAGTACACTTAGTAGACCACTGGCAGATTATTTAAAATATAACAAGACATTTTTCCATGTTGTAAATTAAATAATCTGCCAATGGAATAAGTACCTTTTCATCAATATTAAGGAATTATTGACTTAAATTAAGCTTGTATTACTTGCTGAAAAGTCACTTGTAAGTTAGTTTTGTCTTATTTCAAGTGTACTAAGATATTTGCACTAGAAACTAGGCCAAAAATGATTTTGTTTTTGCAGTGTGTTCATATGTCCAGGATTCATCAACTAGCAATCGGCATCAACTACAACTGGGGGCTGACCAGGGCACATGCATTCGATTACTCTTGGCTTAATGGAGACTTTGTTTTTTAGAGAGGCTCTTGACTGCACAGCCAGTTCTATCAAATGTTGCATGCTTTCCAGATGTCTCAACTGTTGATGATATGCAAGTCATTGGCCAGACAGAGGTTTCCATCCAAGTGGACTGGAAGAACCCGCAGGCAGAAGTGGATTACTTCAGACTGACACATACTGACCCGTCAGGACAGGAGGAGGAGCTGAACGTTCAGAGGAGTCAAGAAGCACGCACCAAGTACACTATTGTGGGTAAGTCATATCGAGAATGTGAGCTTAATTTGAAGACTCAATGCTGAATGCTCTCAAAGGTGAGGAGTTAAAACTGTGCCAATATTACATTGCTTAAAAAATATAGTCTGACTACTTAACCTTTACATTTCTTGTGGCTTAAATTTCAATGCATTACTTTGGAGTTTAGAAAATAGCAAAAATTAAGGTTTCTTAAAAAAAAACTATAGGTATGCTATGATGAATGATGCAGTTTTCTATCTCAACATCTACAAAAATACAAAATGAAAGTTAAGGTCAAAATTGCTCTTAAAATTTGGATTCAAAATCAAGATTTGATAGTCAGAGAAGTGGATGTCGAGCAGAAGATCAGACGATGTAAATATTATAGGACCAAGAATCGCATTTATTTTCTTATTTTCTGCATTTTCTGTGTTTAGAAAATTATGTCTATAATAATAATAATAATGATAATAATTGTTGTTGTTATTGTTATTATGATTATTATTGGAATGTGTAGAACAGACACCAAGTCAAAAAATGGTAGATAATGACATTAAATTGGTTCAGTGATTGTGGGTTTTAAATCCTTAAACATCTTTATTCTAAGCATCTTTTTTCATTTCACATTTTGTGGGGGTGTTATTCAGATATGTAAGAACCAGTAAAGAAAGCAAAAGCTTTCCATTTTAGTTTGTAATTAATAATAAAAGAAAATGTGCCTTTTTGCAGGTCTATATCCCGGAACAGAGTATCAAATTTCTGTGCAGTCCATCAAAGGGAACACCAAAGGAAAAGCTTCTTTCGCAACCGGTGTCACAGGTCAGTAAACACATCAGCATTCATGAGCAGCTTGACTTGATATGACCCTTTGGTATTACCAGAGAGCAGATGGTGAACCCTGTTGTCCCGAAATTGACTTCTTTCTAGCACCATTTTCATTGGGAATGCACTTCTGAAAGATTGGAGACAGAGTGGATGACTGAATGAAGATTGCACTTTAAATGATAAATGATACATCCAGGACATGTGGAATCGAAATGCAATGCAGACACAAAACGCATAACCGCATTCCCTTCAGTGTTCGGTAGCGTGCAGAGTCAAAGACAACACATCATTCTTCTCAGGACATCTGTAATTCACCAGAGGTCAGGGCCTAAATGGAAGCAACACTTAATCAATCATATATCATTCTGATGAACCAGATGATACAACCTGCTATTAGCTTCCACACTCAGCCAGTAATAACAATATAATGAATTTGGCCATTAGGAAGTACAATTATGGGTTAGTGATAGAGAGCTGGAATTTACTACCTAATCATCTGGACAAGCTGTAATGGTTGTGGTGAGCGTGGTCACTGAAAAGAAACGCGATATGAATGTAGAGACCGTAAGATGTTCCCTGATGGTTGAGGTGAGGGGGTCTGTGATTTACAGATGCCATCTGGTATTCCTGTATATCAGCATGTTGCTCTGCTTGTGTTGAGTGGTTTTCGTACGTGAGGAGGAATTTATTTTTTTATCTTCACTTTAACAGCTGCTCTTGACAGTCAGCATGGTCTAAACACAGCACGACAGGTCTGCGGTTATTCTCATTATTCTCTTTTTCTGTCTCGTACTCCTCCTCCAGCTTCTCTATCAACCACCTTCTGAGCTTACTTGGTTGGGAAAAAAAAAAAAAAAAAAAAAAGAAACACACAAAAAAGCAGTCTCCGCATTGATGTCTCTTCATTTCTCAAACTCTGCAGCAGCCAATTTAATGATTTTTAGTCATCTGGCTTAGCAGCGTGTTTTTAAGACTTCCCTCTCATCTCATGGAGCCAGACAGGTACTCATGGATTCCTGTCTTTGCTGATGTTTTCTTTTTTCTTTTTTTTTTTTTCCCCTCCTCCAGCGAGAATGTGCCACTTACATGTGCGGTAATTGAGTGCGCATGTGAGCGCGAACGCTCTAATCTACAGCAGACAGGCAGTGGCTTGTCTTCACTCCAGTAGCCACAATCTTTCATTTTAGGTGTAACACGAACAGGCTTAGAAGTGATTGAAGAGGATAGTCCTTGGCTGTGTTTGTCAGAGCTGTTGCAGTTAGTTCATGATGACTGGCGTGGCGCAAAAGGAGAACCAACCTTTTATCTCGGTAAACATGCTGTTCATCCCCAGACAGCAAGGTTATTCAATAATGAGAGATAAAAGAAGCGTAAAAGAGGAAATATTTTTTTCTCAAGCAAGCACAAATATTTCAAATAATATATGAGTCAGTAAGTGAAGCAATGACAGTATTTGAAGACATGAAAAAAAATGTTGATGCTGTGATTGATCAATGTGTATATGATGGTAAGCCAAAATAGAGAAGGAGGTGAGCTAAAAAAGGAATCCGAGGAGGAACCTAAGAATAATGGGTCTCAGTAAAGCATTTTTCTGCGCCATTATATCACTAAATAATGAATTACAGTGTAATTGTCTCTGTAGTATAAAAGCTGAGGTTTGTCCTAAGTTGATGTTGATGTTTCCCATAACCGAAGCCTCTCAGAGGAAATATTTTCCCCATATTTCATCTTCCCTTTCACCATCTGCCTTGTGTTTCCCTCGTTTTCCTCTCTTGATCCTTTCCAGACTCTTTCATTGAGACTCTTCAAATATCCCCCAAAAGACCTCAGAGCATACTTTTTAATATTGCTGAAATATTCAAGGAAAAATCAATTTATGTCATATTTTTAGAATTATATTCCAGAAAAGCGATGCCTTGATGATGTCATTATAATCCACTTTATTTCACTTCACCACTACTTTAGATATTATGTTTGGTTATTTATTTACTTATCCTAGTTTGTGCTTGTTTAGCATCCTCTAAGGAGAATCTAGATTTTGTACAATTTGTTTTAATTAAGTTTTCTGTTTCTTAATATGTTTGACTTTTACATTAAAAAAAATAGATAAATCTTTTTCATATAAGCTGATACGACTCAGCTGAAATTTGTACTTTACCTGTAGGGGGAGCTACAGTGTGAAAAGTCTGACTAAAATCAGGATGGTTTTGTCTTTACACTATAAAATAATTGAGGGAAACTACTTTCACACCATCAATGTATTTACAC